GGAAGGGAATACGATGCAGCGTTTGAAACGATGAATAGCATAGTTGACCATTTCGTGCATAACCATCAATCTGATGTGAAAAAAGCAACTTATGTGAAATGTGATGCGTCGAAAAAAGGCCTAGGGCTGCCCTAGAACAGTTACATTGACGGATGGAAACCCATTTTGTATGCTTCCTGGTTTTTGAATGCAGCAGAGTTAAAGTATAGTCTCAACGAACTGGAATTGCCAGCTGTTGTGTCGGCAGTGACTCATTATTATAAACATTTCTTGGAGCTCCATTCAAGTTATTCACGAAGCACAAAGCGTTAAATTGTGTTTTTCAGAGGAAAAGAATTCCAAAACAACACAAACAAGATTAGGTCAACGGGTGGATCGATTACTCCCATTCAATTATAAAATCAAACATATATCAGGAAACAATATGAGGTTGGTTGACTACATATCTCGCCATTCAGTTGGTGAACCCGCGAAAATGTACAATTAGACAATACTTTTGTTCTTGCGCAGTTTAGGGCAATTAATCGGTTAATAGCGCCGTTGGTACATGAATAAGCCAAAGATAGCTTCGCGGCAAATGACAAACAAATCTGAATGTCATTTACAAACAAACCTGAACACGAATTACGTAATCGGAAAAAAAACTGCGAAGAAACTTTTTTCGATTAACTATTTTTGATTTGCCGGAACTCTTTGATGCCGATTTTACTTCTGTATTAACGAAAACGGATGAAATCTTGAGCTGCGTTATGGAGGCATTTTTGATTGAAGATTTTACAGCTATTCAAAACCTTGGACCTTTCTTCAGCCATAACGAGTCGAAACTGTTTATAATTCCAACAAGATTTTGTTTATGGAAGACAACATGGTAAATCGACCAAAGCTACGGGCACCTATAATGGCACGGCTACACAGGGACCATGCTGATCTGCTCAAGATGCAGTGTGTACCCATTAGTTTTTTTTGCTGGCCGCATACGATTCGTCAAATTCATTTTACTGCGGTAAATTGCAAAGAGTGCATTAAATCGTGTAAGAATTTCAAATCAGCTATACCAATGACGGACATCGCAATTTAGATGCAATGGAAAAACTAAATCAGAAAAAATTAGTAGATTTTTGGGCCTGTTGCCACAAACCTGGGGTACGAAAAAAGTATTTGCTAATTTGCGTTAATCGATTCTCGAATTTTCTAACATTTCAGGTAACTATTCGTACAACAACGGCGGTTGTAACAAAAACGTGGATAACTAAATAACGCTACATGCAATACCACGGGTGATTAAAACCTATCAAGGCTCAAAATTTTCTGCTAAATCGATAAGAAAATTTTGTACACAAATAACAAACAAATAATTTTTGCGCCAATAGGAATGCATCGGTCCACGGGCCTAGCGGAACGTTGTCTCCGCACTTTGTGTCCGCACACGTGAAAGAGCTATATCTTGTTCATTCCAGAAACCTAAACCCGTTTGAAACCTGTTCAGAACTAATTCTAATTCAATATAAGAACAACTATACCTCAGTTTTTAGGGTGTACCCCATTTGAAGCACATTTCAGTAAAAAACGGAACACGATCTGGCACTCGGTATCACGTAGCGCCTCTCGGTTTAAAATCTGTTTTGGCAAAATGTTTTGTTTTCAATAGATCGCAACAAGAAGATGTTCCATGCCAAGATAATGCAAGACTACGGGAGACCAGACGACGAGTCAACCATGGACATGTTCGAGCGTATCGAACACCCGCAAAATTCGGGCACAGTAGTCCCAGGAATTTCATGAAGTGCAAATGTCGAGAATGTACCACACAAAGAGTTACATGTCCAGGAAAAGATAAGACAATTTTTCGGAAATTCAAGGATCGTTTCAAAACGTAACCTTAATTTGAACAACTCAAAGAAAAAATACTTAGGGAGATGGATCATGCGGTTACCTTGTTTTCGGGAGAAATGTTCCATAAATATGGCATCTCAATAAAATTAGGCAGTCAGTCGGAAACACCAAAGGCCTCAGACGCACATTGTACGAAAAGTCAGCCAATGAAGTCGAGCGGGAAACAAGAGTGGGATGCAAGGAAAACGGCGGCGTTTAAAGCAACGGCGGAAACAGCGGAGAACTCACCTGGAAAGGTTTTTCCAATGGCCGTAGAGGAATAAATACCAGAGGATCCGCAGAAAACCCGATAAACATTGATAGTTCATCGGAACGACTAATGTCCCCGGAGAACCCAGTAGTATATAGTCGTTTTGGGATAGGAAATGAAGATTAATACAGCCGGGAAACCATTGGCATCAGAGAGGTCTGCAGACCGCTTAAGAGCACAAGGGGAGCAAGCGAGCCAAAGGCGAAACCATCGGTAATTCATCCGCCCTCGGGAAAAACTGTACCATACTCGAAATCGGAAGATGGGAGTGTGGTGCAAATGGAGGCTACCGTCCATCCGGATTTCCAGATGATGCTATCATCAGCGGAGGAGAAAGGAGAAGACTCAGAGGATGGGGGTGACCAAGGAGCCACAATCCTCGTGAGAAGACACATCATCGCCCAGGGCAAAGCCGATGGAATTAAAAGATCAAAGACCTAGAACACTTTAACCTAGGCGGACAAGCGACAAGTAGAAAAGGACGGTAGGGACGTCATCAAAGACGGTTGCAACACGACACAACACACGGCTAATTCGAGAAAGGAGGCCACCAAAGTTTCTTGGAGAACAATTTTCTTCTGGTGCAATCGCCACCGGTACTAGTCAAGTAAATTCCGTTAGCATGCCAGAAGACACATCGGACGAAGAACCTGAGGAACCGTCAAAAACAATACCGAGTGTGCTTTTAAGAATGGTTAGCAGGACAAGATTAGGGGTCATGCAACGAAGGAACCGGTGATTTTCATCTCACCACAGAAAATACCCAGCCCAAAGAAGATAAGCGCGGAGGAGACTTATGTTGATAGGGAGACGTCTCGTTTTTATTAGGGCAGGACTATGTGCAGGAAGACATAAAGGGGCTATGCGAGGAGGTATCTGGGAATTTTGTAGATGCTTTGGATAAGCTGAGACGAATTGTTAAACACACAGCGGGGGTTTCCTCGGTTGCAGATTCCCTAGGCAATGCTATAGACGGGTTCCTGTCACAACCCTTGTTACAATCCCCGGTTAGAATCCACCGGTTAGAAGCTAGGATTAGGAATAGCAGAAAAACCTTGATCTGGGGAAGTCCGTGGACATTGCACATTGCACAAGCGGAAATACAGAGAACGCGTGAGGCAATAGATCGTGCAGGGAAAGATTTACTGGAGCGAATTGGAGAAGAGTCGGGGACGTCAGTGCAGATCAAACGACGAGTTAAGATCAGCACACCTATCAAACGAGATGAACATCGGGACATAGTACAACAGTGCACGCCTTGGGCTGCCCAGGAGCGAAGCAAAAGCCACCGGAGGGAAATTTAGTACAAACGGAGGAAAAACAACGGGCTTTAGAAGATGATGGAACAACAGTCGTTCGAACTGGAATGATACCGGGGAAGGCGGATGTAGTAAACATCAGCGGCGATTCGAGCGGCTCGTTTGCATCGGATGATCTGGATATAGCAGATGAAATTTGTGCTATAAGCATGACCGGAGACGACCAGAGACAAATTCTGGAACAACTGGAAAATCTGCAATGGGGAGCCTTACCGTGATGGGGAAAAATAGTGGGTATAAATGACCGACAAAAATGAAGTGACATTTTGAAAACTATTACATTATCGGACTATTAAAGACATTTGGATAGTATATTTATTTGATGTGATGATTTATATTGAACAAAATTGAAGGGGGAATGTGGCGTAGAGGTCATAATATGATCCTATAACAATTTTATATGTAATATTATTCCATTACGTAACGTCATATGACTGTCGAGGTCAACGTTACAGTTAACGTTCAACATGCGTACAGCCATTGGCTGTCGTTACGGTTAAGAAACAAAATTGATTCTCTGAGTTTTATTATGAAGTAGTGCTCACGCATAATACCACCACACACAGGTGAAATATCACCAGATCAGTAATTTACACACGACCGTAACCTAACGAAAAAATATCGCAGGTGAGAGATCTTTTTGAATTTGAGCTTAGGATATTCCGTCAAAAACGCCTAGGTAAGACAAAAATTGATTTTAAAAAACTATAAACAGCATAGATATTGGCCACTTTGTTCGAAAGTCGGAACAATTATCATCGATAGATGAAGAGCTTTAGCGAACATTTCGGCTCTGTAAGCTTTTGGGTCTTCTTATCAATTACTCCCCCCTATGTATCTATTAAAGATTCATTCGGCTCCCTTTTAATTTACCTCTTGTATAATTTACCAGCTGTTGCTACTATTTGCTTATATTATTTTGTTGTATCATTGGCCAGAAATTCGAATATCTTTGTAGCCTCAATCTATTTAAGAATTACCTCCACATTCTTAAAAGGGGAGGTAATTGGCAAGTAGATCCAATTTTTCCAAATTAGATAGAAGACTGTATTTCCTGATACATTTTGTTCGTATTTCGATTGGCTCGAAATTATTGTGCCTTAATTTTGCAAACAAGTAAACTCTCACTACCGAGTGCCCTTCAATAACTGCGACGTAATTTTTGGAAAAATTGAGAAAAAAAATAAAAAAATAGCATCATGTTAACAATTATCCCTTTTTCAAGTTTAAAGGATCTTTAGCGCGTTATAAATATCCCTCACGAATTGATCAAACGGGCAATTTTACAAAAAAATGATGATTGGTAAAACATGTGTTAAGTTTGATCTCAAGATAATTATAATTATATTTTTTGGTTAGGCTGACCAAACTATTTGCAAACTTTCTGTGCCACCGGTAAACGATTGAAAAAAGCCAGGCATATTTTTGGGCATCTATTGGATGGGTTTTACCGCAAATTCGCGTAGGTTTAGACTTTTGTAACTTTGATAGAGAGCTTTGTCCAATATTCTTTCGTAATGGGATCGTCATTAACAAGATTTCCTGATAAAGCTTGAATTAAATCATCTATTAGGCTAGTATTATTTAAAAAAACCTGGGTACTTTGATAGATAAAATATAGTAAGAATTTGGTTTTTAATAGTTTTAATGATTTTGAAGATTATTCTTGCTCTATTTGGTGTTGGGGTTGTCCGGCTGAATGTCTGGATGGGACAATTTGAAACACTCTTCATCTAGTAATGTTTCGTTGATTCGTTTGATGAGCGGGAACTCAGTCAGATCCACATCGAATCGCATAGCATTGGCCACTGAAACGAATACCGATTTAAGTCTCACGTTTCAGACTTTTTCTTGATTGAAATCCGGGAAATGTCAGAAACTTGTTTCAAATACTCGCAGGTTCTCACGAAATTAGATAAAAAGCTAAAAACTGTATCAATAAATCACAGCTTTCAAAAATTTAAAAGCCCATTTTTTGACAAAAAATTATCACCGCAAGCATTATTCTCACAATTAGGCTAAACGACGTTTTAAAACACTTTTTGGAAGGTTATGACCAAAGTTCCAAGGCATCGTTAAAAAACTTAGGTTCAGTCGGCTAAAAATGGAAAAATGTTTTTTTTTTTAAAAGGGGTAGAGTCCCTGAAAAAAGAAAGGTGGAAAACAACTCTTTTCTCTCCAAATTCCCGTGCTCCAAATTGCGTCGACAAGTGGGTCAAAACGATGACCAGGGAGAGTAATTTAAGATAAATTCAAGGAAACGTACCTTGTGGGACCAAGAAAAAGTCCGCCATAGTTATTTCATCTCCGAAACTACACTTCCCTGAATACTGCTGCAGCAACTTCTCAAAAGCCATGAACCCTACTTTTATAGCATCATGGGACCATTCCTTCTTGGTCACGTCCTGTTTTTCAGCGTCGTCAGGAACAAATTTTCTCGCTATTTTCCCCGCCAAAAACGGATTCTGAATTGGCTGAATGAAACCTCCAATTAGATAGCACATTTGTCTATTCCATTGAAGAGCATTTCACAGATGAACTTTACGTTTTGTAAACTTTTCAAAATCATTTCATTTTTTTTCTAAAAAATATGTGAATCCTCTTCAGAATGAAAATTTGAGTTGATCGAAAATTAGTCTTTTCTGTTTTACGGCACAAAATTACGAAAAAGTTAATTAAGCTCCTTTTTTTATGAAAACACTGATACTGATTGACGGCAAATAGTTTCAAGCAATCAAATTCGATAATTCTGATAGAAATTTCGAAAAAAAAAACAAAAAGATCAGTTTTGGGAATATAGCAAAAGACCCAAATTAATGAACTATTTTCAGGAAACAATAAATGCTCGTCGCATACCGAACAATTTGTCGTTGAAAAAGATCTGAGGGCAAGGATGGGTTCTTTTTTGGGTACATATCTTCCAGGAACTCCAGAATAGTACTTGATTCGGACATCACATGTCCGTCGTAAACTAAAGCTGGAACTTGACCGTTAGGGTTTATTTTCAAAAACTCTTCTTGCTTATGTTCCATTTTGAGAAGATTGACTGCTTTGTACTCGTATTTTATTCCCTTGAAGGCGAGAAAAGCACGAATACGCCACGAACAAGAGCTGCGAAAGTAGTTATACAGAAGTACATTTGACATTTCCGAATCCATAAATTATGAAAAACTTTTTATTAGTTGAACAATATTTTGATTAAACTATTACACAAATATGGTAAGATTAAATTCTTTGGCTCAGAAAGCTTGAAGCTAATTCGTATTCGTGCAAAAGTGAATTTAGATTATTGAGTTTGTACACCGTGTAAACTCCAAACGTGAATTAAGATAAGACGCGATTTTCAGTTGACATGAGTGTGATTTTGAGTTTGCTCTTTGCTTAGCAAGTAAATATATTTGCCAGAAGAGAACGCCAAGACAAGTAAATTGGCTAAAGTGTTTAAACAAAAACCGTCATTTGTGAAAAAAAATTCGGGCGGATCTAAGATTCAAAATCAGGGGCGGATCTAAGATTTTCTCGAGGGAGAGATAGGGCGGATTTTTAAAACAATTGGTGCCCGTTTTTACGTCAAAAAAATTGATTTTCCGAGCTCTTTTAAAACATAAAGAAGACCCTATTTGGACAAAAAAATTGCGCCGCAGGAAATCGCAACGCGCTATCCCTCAGAATGAGTATAAAATGGCGCCAATGACGTCTTTATAAAAAATTTCAGTGTCGGTCGGCAGAAAATGGATATCGAAAAATAATCCAGTAGGGTGGATCCTTTGTTGAGGGGATCGAAATCCTGGGGGGGGGGGGGGGGGGGGTTCTTCCACTCTTCGACAAATGTGAGCGTGAACATCAAATAGGCAAATTCTCCTTCAACTGGTACCTCATAATCAAGCTAATTCGGTTCAGTGAAAATTGACTTTTTCATTTAAAAAAATCCATTCCTTTCAAACCCAAAAAAGTACATTGCTACCTAAAAATAAACTAATTGTGCATTTTCGCATTAAAAAAATCCCAGAATAAATGTAGAAAAAAGCTCATTTCGATTCGTCAGTTTCGACACCTTTACTATGCATAAAATATGTTGCAACACACTGTTTTTTTGCCAATAGCAGAAAAAAAATTTTGTCAATTTTTTTAAAACGCAAACTTTTTTAAAATGTGTAAAATTTTGTCAATTTTTTGGCGCAAAAAAGGAGTTGGGATAAAATAGCTTAATATGAACTTGTTCTGCCCCTAATATGTCTGGTTCAAAGGATTGAAGATAACGCCTGTGCGGCAAAGAATGTTACCATGGAAAAAAAATCATTTTTCTGTTTAATGGCAAACTTTTGCCCCCATGAAAACTTTTCAAAAACATTGAAAATCTTGAAAAACATATTAGAACCCACACTTATTATAGTATCTGATTATCAAGAAGTATAAACGAGGCTTCGAAGCGGTTGCTGACATTGTGCATTCTAATGTATATTATTTTAGCATTTTTCATTATATTTTAGCCTTGCCTGTTGAACATCGAAAAAAAATAGCAAACGGCAAAGCGCACTTATGAACATTATTTTTGGCAAAAAAAAACACTAAAATAAAACCATGTTTTCTTCTTGAAGGCAATCGAGGCATGTAGTTTAAATCAGTTACAGATGTTGAACTTTGATTAAAAATCGACACAACAGGGATTGCTATAACTATGAATTTTAGGCAGAGCTCACTTATAAATACATAATAAGTTTTGTAAAAAATCACAAAACTTATTTTTGATGAAGTAAAATTTTACTAAAATGTACTTATTAAAAGATTACAGTCGTTAGATGCGCGAATTTTGGATTACTGACAGAAAAATGAGACTTGTAATTTTTCTAGGCAGAGCGTATGTGTTACTAATTTTCGGCAGAGCGCACCCTATTAATTTGGTTATTTCTCGTAAAAACATTAACCTCCTAAATAATATTCTTTATCCGGCCTCATTAGGTCGTAGTTACCTCACATGCTGCCATCAATAACTTAATCCATCGTAATTATTTAACAAGACTGCTCGTATCAGGGCGAAGCCCTGAATGTTCCGACTGCCTTTTAAGGTTTATGGAGCAGTAATAACATTGGAAAAATTCAATGAAGTAAAACAAAATGAAAAAAAAAAATAATCCCCCCACACGCGATATACAGTACAAAAGGATAGATTTCGCTCCATGTGACAAACCAATTATGGCAAATAGGCTTCTTTTAACCAATTTGGAACGATTTCTAAGATGGATTAACTCTCCGCTTACGCGTTAATAACGCGAAATATATCGCGCGTTAATTGTCCCAAATTAACTAAAATGGCAATCTTTAAACCCCCGTAACTTTACGAAAAATGATCACAGGTGAAATATCTTTTCAAATTTGAGTTAAGGACAACAATACCTTTCGTATGACATTTTCTAAAAGCTGACTGCCTTAAACATTCTAAAATATTGCCATTTGAACATGTCAACATAAGGACTTCTTAAACATAAATCAAGTTAAACGCCAGTTAAATAATGTATCGATAGAAAGTATCAGACGAATTGTATAAACGTGCAATTTAACTCCCCCTTTACAAACTTTTCTTCTAAGAAAAGGTGACATAAAAATAATTCGGACCATTGCCCCAGGGTTGATGTGCTTGAATTATGGTTCAAATATGCATCATCGATCGTACATGCACGAATAAGGCTTGGTGAAGTATATCGAGCTTGAACTTTTCATCGTTTTTTTTTAGAAGAGCTTGAAGTATTTTAAAAGCTTCCATACTTTTGTTAACGCTATTTCACATGCTAATTTGAAAACTGAGGAACCACAAAAACACGCTTTACAGTTAAAGACTTATTTTTCATTATCAACTCAGTGCGACAGGTGTTTTTATTGCTTCAGTTTCGTCTGAAGGAGAAACCCAGTGTGATGACGTCACTGATGCAGGCGGAGATGCATGCCCCTCCCCCGGGCACGAACAAAAACAAGCGGAAGAGCAAGCCATTCTACCAACAGATACTCTCAAAGACACTATTCTGCTGCTAGAGAAAACAGCAAAGTTATCAGTTGTTGCTATGATATAAATCTATTTTAGGTAGTTACAATTGTTCCTAAAATGTGTGATTTTTAAAGGAATATCGTGGACCATTTTCTATTATTTAAGCTGGCGTCAAATCGACCATGTACATAATGGTTAAGCTATTTGAGACAATGACTGAAAATAATTGTTAGGAACAATTTTTAAGCGAAAGGTATAAGAATTCACTCAAGAAGTTTCTTCTAATCTGAATTCCGGCATAAGAGCTTTATTAAGGTCAAGGCCAAGCGGAAGAAATATTCTTTTGAAAATTGGAGAAATATTCGCAATTTCTAGAATTGAATAAGCGAACTGCTCGACCTATTTGAATAGACGGTAAATAATTTATCTTAACAAGCAGAAAAACATTCGATTAGAAAGAAAGAAAGAAAGAAAGAAAGAAAAGAATAAATCAATTAACATAGCACAACAACAAAGGCAATGAATAAAATGGAGAGGATAGACACAAGAGATAAGTTATGCCAACTGAGAGTCTACCCTTCGACAAAAACACAAAAAGAAATACAAACAAGACTGCTCCTATCAGGGCGAAGCCCTGAATGTTCCGACTGCCTTTTAAGGTTTATGGAGCAGCAGTAATAACATTAAAAAATTCAATGAAATAAAACAAAATCAAAAAAAATTTTTGATGAAATTTGAATTTTTTTATGAAAATCATCCCCCCACACGCCATATAAAGTACAAAAAGAGAGATTTCGTTCCTTGTAACAAATCAATTATGGCAAATAAGCTTCGTTCAACCAATTTGGAACGATTTAGAAGACGGATTAAATCTCCGCTTACGCGTTAATAGCGAGAATTATATCGTGCGTTAATTGTCCCAAATTGGTCAAAATGGCAACCTTTAAACACTCATAACTTTACGAAAAATGATCACAGGTGAAATATTTTTTCAAATTTAAGCTCAGGACAACAACACCTTTTGAATGATACAAAAAATTCCGTCAAAAATGGCTAGTTAAAAAGTCGAAATTTGTCTGAAGAAAAAAAAACCCACCCCGAGCACAAACATTCCGTTACTTTCGTATCGAAAGTCGGAACAACAAAACTGCTCGTAGCATGGCAAAGAATGTTCCTGAATTTTCCGACTGCCTTTTAAGGTTTATGGAGCAGTAATAACATTTAAAAAAATTAAATGAAATAAAACAATGAAAATTTTTTTTTCTAAAATTTGAAATTTTTTATGAAAATCATCCCCCACACGCCATACAAAGTACAAAAGGATAGAATTCGCTCCTTGTAACAAATCAATTATGGCAAAAATAAGCTAAGCTAAGCTAAGAAACCAATTTGGAATGATTTCTAAGAGGGATTAACTCTCCGCTTACGCGTTAATAGCACGAAATATATTGCGCGTTAATTGTCCCAAATTGCCCAAAATGGCAATCTTTAAACCCCCATAACTTTACGAAAAATGGTCACAGGTGAAATATCTTTTCAAATTTGAGCTCTGGACAACAATACCTTTTGAATGATATAAAAAAATTCGTTCAAAAATCGCTAGTTAACAAGTCGAAATTTGTCTGAAGAAAAAAAAACCACCCCGAGCACAAATATTCCGTTACTTTCGTATCGAAAGTCGGAACAATTATCATCCGCAATAATAATTATAAATTAATTCAAAATGAAGTGAGAAGCATCGCACGTGTAAAAACCAATTTTTCTGCTACTCTGCTTCGATGAAATTCTCACAAAAATCGATCTTGAATTTGAGAAATTGAATGAAAAGTTTTCATAAAAATTGCGATATCTCGGAAACTGAAGAAATTAGAAGGTCACATTTTCAAGCTGCAATTATTGTTTTACCATAGGCTGATAAAACCCAACGACAAGGTTAACGGAGAATTAAACAAAATTTTATAAATTTTTGCTTCATCCCACATTTAGTTTTTTTGCATTGATATCTCTTTTTGTTGGCTTCAGAAAAACCCAGATAACTTTAAAAATGGATAATTTGGATGGTCCATTTTTGATGAATACTTTCAACTTCAGTGCAAGTTTGATAATAATCCTCGTAGAAAAAGAAATCGTAAAATTCAAATTTCAAATGAAAATCTTTTTGTTCATCATTGTTCTGAAAAATTTGATCAAAAATCGCAATATCTCGAAAACAAGGAATTGGAAGGTCAAATTTTCATGCTAGAACCGCAACTCATAATATGTTTCCTATAGCACCAAAGCCATAGTTCTATATTGCAAAACAATTTAGAATTGAAAGATAAAGTAGGGTGGCTCTGAGTTGCCTAAAACGTATGTATTCTTATTTCTGCCTGAATTTAAAATTGCCTGAATTTGTCTCAAGAAAAAAACCATCCGACCAAAAACATAGGTCAATTTCATCAAAAGTCAGAAGAATTTTGTTGGAAGGGACTATGGTAAAACAGAGAAAGTTAAAACTCGAATAGTGCAAGATGCAATAAAAAGCACGAAATGCAACATGAAACAATGTTATATGTCTTATCAATTTCATCGTGCTACGATGCAACATAGACCATTTTTTTTCGTTTATCGCTAATTTCATGGAGCTGCTTGAAAAAAGTTGATAAACACTACGAGTCACAGAAAAAAGAATTAAAAAAAAAAACAAGTGTTTAAGTTTCGGTTGCTCTTTTAAGTTGTTGCAGCGAAAAATTTTTATTGCTTCAAATGAATTTTACAACATTGAAATCTTCTTACCTTTTTTTAAATCAAAATTTAGCTTCCCCCGAATAGCAAAATACGCAATCATTTGCAAGTTCTTAGTGATTCAATTTTAGTTTAGCAAAAATCAACGGTACCAATCAAGCTCTCCTGAATTGAAATTCGAACTATCTGGGGCGCGAATTAACCAACTGTGTACGCGCTTTGCAGCAAACAGACAATTAAGCTACATTAAGTCTAATCCGATGGAACTGATACCCGAACCGCCAGAAACTTTAGAAAAACCACAGAGGTATTAACTTATTGCGTGATTTCAGAGATCAATCTTCATTTTGCATTAAAGTCCCGTAATTTCGCTCACCGAGCTTAGCTTGAATTAAAATACTAACGAAGCATAAAAATTCGGTTAATGTCTTCAACCCTGTTACAATGCTAAAATGGGGGATGCGGTAATGGCGAAATTTAGTTTTTGTAGGTTCTTGGGAGCTCATAAGATTTTCCTGTTTAAAAACTCCCTAAAAATTTCTCCCGAATTGAAACTTCTGAAAAATGTTTCCTGATTTTGAACTTGATCCAATGTTTAATGTCGTAAATTGGACAGTTGAGTTTTTGAAGGACAAAATCGGTTAACCTAAAATTGCTATAAATGTTGAAAACATCATAAAAAACGCCATATCTGGAAACCCTACAATTTTTGAGCAGTCATATTTGGAGGCCATCTTTGCAATCACTGAGTGTACTCTGACAGATTCTCACTATAAATTGAGAATTTCAAGTTCGCTTAGTTTTTTCTGTTTGTGTTTTTTGAAAAATATTGAAAAAATCGTAAGAAACGACATATCTCGAAAACCAAGCCTATTGAGCAACCATACTTGAATGCCAGCTTCGAAACCCCTGAGTCTACCCTGACAGAACCCCAGTATAGGGTTGAGAATTTCAAGTTCGCTTGATTTTTCCTCGAAGTTTTTTGAAAAAAAAAATATTGAAAAAATCTTTAAAAACAACTCATCTCGAAAAACAAAGCAAATTGAGACGTCACTTTTGGACTCCAGATTTGCAATCCCTGAGCGTAACCTGAAAGCAACCCACTTTTGGGTTGAGAATTTCAAATTCGATGAAATTTTTTTATTATCTATTTTTTCCGAAAAAAGAAAAAATCATAAGAAATGCCATATCTTGAAAACCAAAAAAATTTGAACAGCCAAACCTGGACGCCAGATTTGCAACTCCTGAGTGTACCCTGACAGCACCCGACTAAAACCTTGAGAATCCAAGTTCACAGAGTTTTTTCTTTAAATAAGTTTTTTGCAAAATATGGAAACAAATTATAAGAAATACATATCAGGAAAAATAAAAGAATTTGAGCAGTTATACATTAGACTCTAGATTTGCAACCTCTGAGTGTACCCTAAGAGATCTACAGTATAGAGTTGAAATTTTCAGGTTTGCTTAGTTTTTTCAATTGGTTTTTTTCAAAAACATTGAAAAAATCATAAAAAACAATCTATCTCGAAAACTAAAAACATGGAGCAGTCATTTTTGGACTTCAGATTTGCAATACCTGAATTTAACGTAGAAACACGCCACTATTGTGTTGTGAATTTAAAAATTAATTAGTTTTTTGAAAAAAAAAAATGAAAAAATCATAAAAAAAACGCCAATATAGAAAACCAAAAAAATTTAACAGCCAAATCTGGGCCAGATTTGCAACGCCTGAGTGTACCCTGACTGCACCCGACTAAAAACTTGAGAATCCAAGTTCGCTGAGTTTTTTCTTTATCTAAGTTTTCTGCAAAATATGGAAAAAAAATATAAGAAACGACATATCAGGAAAACAAACAAAAAATGGAGCAGTGATTTATTAGACTCCAACTTTGCAAGCTCTGAGTGTACCCTGAGAGATCCCCAGTATAGGGTTGAGAATTTCAAGTTCGCTTGGTTTTTTCATAGGCTTTTTGAAAACAAAATGGAAAAAATCATGAAAAGCAACGCATCTCAAAAGTTTTAAAAAAAAAGAAGCTTTCATTTTTGGACTTCAGATTTGCTATCTCTGAGATGTAACCTGAAAACACGCCAGATTTGTGTTCAGAATTTAAAAATCAATTAATTTTTATTAACGTTTCTAAAAAAACTGAAAAAGTCATAACAAACGCCATATCTGAAGAATCATAAGGATTTGAGCAGTCATACTTGGATACCAGGTGTACCCTGAAAAAACCACAGTATAAGATTGAGAATTTCAAGTTCGCTTTTTTTCTCAATCTAATTATTTAAAAAACATTTGAAAAAATCATAAAAAAACAACGTATCTCGAAAAACAAAATAAACTGAGCAGTCGATTTTGATCTCCAGATTTGCAATCCCTGATTGTAATCTGAGAGCACCCCACTATTGGGTTGAGATATTTAAC